AATATGCCTCTAGCCATTGAATCCTCTAATTTTTAGTTTGGAGAATGTATGAGAGCTGATTTGCTCCACACCACTCAATGTCAAATGAGGAGGATTGATAGCATAACCATCTGTCGATATGCAATTCATAATTAATATTTCTGGGGTACACTCTTGATACTACATCATAACAAACTGCCTATCACTTAGAGTGATACAGATCAGAAATTGCGTTCTCTATCCAGCAAGAATCAGGAAGCTTGAATGAGCTTATGATAAGTCACTTCAACATGCTAAAAGTGAGAGTTCTGCAGCAATGACACTTAAGAATGCTTCTTCCAGATAACACATGCTCATAACCTTTTACTTCCGATAGTACATACATCTTGTATACATGAAGTCGTCATTCTTATCTATGTTGGAAGAAGGAATCATTGCCCTTGTGAAGGCCGGTACGAAATTATTTATAAGAGCAGATTTGGTGAAGCTGCCTTCTTCTCTGATGACTTTCTTCTCAGGGTTTCGCGTCACTAGCCTATATTTCTGTCAATCCAGTAGACCTCTTAGAAATACATCACACCTACCGCTAAGAATGATCCAGATTAGGAACTGTGATTTATGTCCAGTTTAAACCAGGAAGTTGGAACGAGTGTAGAAACTGTAATGAACATTTAACTGCGGAAATGATAGCCGTGAATGCTCATTCCACACAGAAGATGCTCAAATTCTTCCCATCCGTCTTCACCAGGCAGTACCGAATCTCTTTCTGACCCGTGGGGTTCCGCGTAGAGATCCTGCAATTTACGTACACGAAACGTTTCAGACATGAATGTCACATTCCTTTCAGAAGAAATTGGAAATAAAATTTCAAGAGGAACAGAACACAGAACATTAGCTCGGAGTTATGGTGTGAAACGAGACTTGAACACTGCACACTCAGTACTACGTAGATAATCGTGGGGGTGAGAGGTTTCCAGATACTCACATTGAAGAAGGTAGCCCTTCACCACATTGTTGACGAGGACTGCGACTGTGCCAACCGCCGTCTCGACAATGTGAACCGTCCCATTGACGGGCACCAGCACGTTGACGGTGCACAGGACGCCGTCGATCACAGCGGAGATCTTCCAGGTCAGGCCGAGCAGGCTGGAGACGAGGCCCGTTATGGTGTACAGCACGGACTGGACGGTGTGCGCAACGACGGTGATGAGACCCAGCGACCCGAGCTGCAGGCCAGGGATGAGCACGATATCGACCTTGACGTCGAAATCGCAGTCATTGATGAGGCTGGAGGAGTATCCGGTGGCTGCGACAAATGTGGCTGCAGCAAGCAGCGAGACAGCGATAGCGATGAAGTGAGCGGTCCTCATTCTGATCGAAGAGATGGAAGTGGTGGACAGGCACTGTGAGGGATGCTGAAGTGGTGCTAGCTGATACTTGAACTGAGTACAGAGAGAGTGTGGTTGTTGCAGAATAAGAGGTGGTTTATATAGGCCCCGGGTGCTTAATTTCAAGGTGAGGTCATTGTTTCTCCCACAAACTGCATAGAGTCAATACCTTTCGAGCAAGTAAATACATCGAAAATTTATGAAATTGTTCCTTGTTCTGGACAAGGTCCACTGTGTTACCGCATCAGCAACGTGGCAAACGTGCTCAAGTAGCATCTCACAACGGAATCACTACATTTTCGCCGTGACCATGAACATCCGTTGAACAGTATTCCAAATATGATATATGTAGTCTCGGCATCCATAATTACAAGAAGATTTCTGAAATTCAGACCACGTTTTGACCTGGGTTGAATTTTAATGTTCCAGGTTTGAGTATTTCACTGCTCCATGGAAATTTGAACCAGTTCTGGCCTTTCTGAACTATGCAGTAGAGGTATAGCTTTCACTTGGACAAGAATTGAACTTATTTTTCTGCAGGCTTAGCAGAAAACTTGAAGTGTAACGCTTTGTTGTGGCAAACCTCGCAGTCGCTACATCTCTCTACAAGTCTCATCACTGCGTATGCTTCACTAGATCCCCATCAGTAGACTCTCAAGAGGGGATCGTTGACCTTAGTTCTGTGGATTCTCCGATATAGACGAAAACGGCTTGCCACGTGTATTGCTTCCTATCTGAGGTCACGTGACGTTTGCTAGTATTGGTGGGCACACTATCCCATTAGGGGTTCTTTACAGAGGTGGTTTTGTTTCCAATCAATAAAAGCACCTCAGCTAGAAGCTCATATGCAGACAAGGCTTGCCATACTTCGCTTCAGAAATCAGCACCGCAAGATACAGCAGCTCGTTGCCGAGTAAGTTTAAAGAGCCTCCACAACAACATTTGACAAGGTGGGTCACATTTGACAAGTGTTGCGGTCTTACGTCGTTTCATACATCTGGGTCTGACAAAAGTCTCTTTATCCTAGTGGCTGCTGTGATGAGTGTAATGGTTGACCTTAATCAAGGAAGAGACTCACAATACAAAAAGTAACGGCTGAGATGAGCTGCAAATCAAACGAAGATGAATTTCTTATTATCTTCAAGAAGAATGAACATCGGTAGATCTGATAGTCCAATACATATATCAGCAATTTACGGACCTTGGTATATATAAGAAGTGTTCACAACTGTACAAACGCTCATTGTCGTCACATCGACTTCACGAAAATGAAGGCACTTAGACTTCGATTGCTGGAATGTTGCTTATAACGAACAGCTGGACTCTAAATTCACGAGTGATTTACATTCAAATGTTCAAGTTTCATTGTAAATATCTGTTCATTTCTCTGAACTTGAAACATGCGGATCTTAATATTTTGAAGAGCAAATATAAAGTCTTTCTCCATGTGGTCATGTCCAGAGTGAATGAAGTCAAACGCACAGATACCCTCGTACAAGAAGTTAGGCTTCTCTTTATGGAAGGAATGTATCACACAGTTCATAGGATTGACTAAAGTGAGCACAGTTCAATATGTTATCCTCCAGGAACAGTCAGTGTGCTCTACATTCCATCCCAAGAAGATTGTGATGGAAATTCCCCTTGCTCATCAGTCACTTTATTCGCACGCAGCATCCTGTTGATCTTGTCGCCCCAAGTATAACTATCTAAGTCTATACGTAGATAGAGAGAATATCATTTTTCGGGATGATCAAATCCGTACATGCATGTCATCGATGAGGTGCACTGCACCTTTGAGCTTTGACTCGGATGTCCTTCATTATCTTCGATCCATGCACTTTACAGTGCTTAGTTCTCCTGGACGTGGCCTCCGCATCATAACGACAAGTCTCCATAGATCATTCCCCTTCTCTGCTCCTCATATATAACTTGTTCACCATTTTTACTACCCTTGTAGTTATTTGGACTGACCTTTCCTGATCGGACAAAAGAAAAGTAGGCAGTTCACCTGCTCATGATGAGAACTGGCGCGGTAACAGAGCCTATCGCGGTGACTGGAGTGCCATGTCTTTAATGGGATTGTAAGGATGGGAATCAGCACCCACGACTGCGATCTTATTGAATTCATCAGGTGGTAACCTCAATGAGATAAATTGTAGCACACGGGTAGACTCTACGGAGCGAGGCGAGCGAAAAACTGGTTATTCCCGGCTTTAATTATTTTACTACTACTCGATCGCCTCAAAAAAAAGTTCACCATTGTTCATCAAAAGGTATCCGATGTATGTCCTACATTGGTATCAAGATGTGGCTCGACCATTAGGATGCTGAGTGCCAGGTATTCAGTTTTTATTTTTCAACTTCATTGCCTCATGTACGCTTTAACTCAAGATACAAATCGCAACAAGAAATCCATTTGCAGATGTATGTACCTTTGAACTTAAATTCATTATATCTTTACTTTGGCGCTCAACTATAAGCCCGAAGACTTACTCCGAAGTCTCATGATGGAGAATGAGTTTCACAGATGTTACCTTCTCGTTGACATATTCTTCAACAGGTGTCGTTTAGAATTGGGCGATGAATTCGCAAGTTCAGTTTACAGACCCTATGCAGGCCTCGACTTGTTAACGTTACAAGCCGCATATCTTATCTATCTGGATATTTATCTTTTGTCAATTGATGTATGTAACTAAGGTGAATATTTACATACATAGTCAGTACAGATTGATTAGAGATTGGATTCGAACAAGTCCCTTGCCAACTGAAAACCATATCCGTAAGCTGATTTTAGGCGCTTGAGATCGTAAATGCAACGGACGGTCTCTGACCTGGGTAACCGACGTAAGCCATTGATCCAGAGATTTGACATCATCCTCGGCGAGACTCGGAACCTACGGTATAGAACAAGAAGATGAAAGAGCTGTATTGACTTCATCATACACAGGAAGCTTCTTAAAAATGTATGTCGATCAAGTGCCTCGACAGAAAAGAAAAAGAAGTCTGTAGCCACTTCGGGTTTTGCCATAAGGCAGCGTTTCACTTCAAGCTTCTTGGGCGCAACATGAAGGTAATCAACATCATCATATTCCAGTCCATTATACCTCTACTGCATAGCTCACAAGTTCCAGAAACTTTTCAAGTTTCACTTTTCTTTTGCCATAAGGCAGCGTTTCACTTCAAGCTTCTTAGGCGCAACATGAAGGTAATCAACATCATCATATTCCAGTCCATTCGACCTCTACTGCATAGCTCACAAGTTCCAGAAACTTTTCAAGTTTCTCTTATCATCAAACTGTGAACTTACTCAAACCAGCTATGGTCTGAAATGGATTGAAATTTCGGGTTATTCTTGTGGATATGTATGCTGACATAAGATGTAATTTATTTGATCCAGTCTTGGGTACAACTGTAGATATTTTGTGGTGAGATCTAATCTTTGATTATGTGCCACATTGCTTATGCGGTTCCTCTCTGAAACTTGTTTCCAGACAAGTACGAATTTCTGTTATTTTCAATGTATTCACTTGCTCGAAAGGTATTGACTCTATGCAGTTTGTGGGAGATACAATGACCTCACCTTCAAATTCAGCACCCGGGGCCTATATAAACCACCTCTATTGAGCAGCAACCACACTCTATCTGTACTCACTTCAAGTATCAGCTTGCAGCCCTACAGCAGCCTCCTGTTCACTCGCAGTGCCTGTCCACCACTTCCATCTCTTCGATCAAAATGAGGACCGCTCACTTCATCGCTATCGCTGTCTCGCTGCTTGCTGCAGCCACCTTCGTCGCAGCCACCGGATATTCCTCCAGCCTCATCAATGACTGCGATTTCGACGTCAAGGTCGACATCGTCCTCATACCGGGTCTCCAGCTCTTACCGGGTGTCATTACCGTGGTTGCCCACACCGTCCAGTCCGTGCTGTACACCATAACGGGCCTCGTCTCCAGCCTGCTCGGCTTGACCTGGAAGATCTCCGCTGTGATCGACGGGGTCCTGTGCACCGTCAACGTGCTGGTGCCCGTGAATGGGACGGTTCACATCGTCCAGACGACGGTTGGCACAGTCGCAGTCCTCGTGAACAATGTGGTCAAAGGCTACCTTCTTCAATGTGAGTATCTGACACCTCTCATCCGCGAAGAACAGCTCCGCAGTGTGCAGTGTTCACATCTTTTTTCACATATTGTCTCTGATTACATTGAGCACATTTCGGAGGTTATTCTCTGCCGATAAAGCTTCAGTTGTTCCTACTGTAGTTGAATGATTTTGCAAGCAGACTTGAGAACTTCCGAATCACCAGTGAAAGGATGTTGACATTCATTTCTCTCTTGTAAATTGCAGGATCTATACGCGGCAATCAACAGTCAGACACAGGTCGGCACGAGTCAATACAATCTATAGTGTTTTAATCCTCTTTCAGAAAGGTCCGATCGGACCTTTCTAAACGCATTGTTAAGACATGTACGCTAGATTGGCAATTGTACTTCATCCTATTTATATAACTAAAGCCTTTCACTGAGGCAATGATTCGTTATTTCGTACATGGATATAAGTGACGACTGAATTTACAAAGTATGAGGTGCATTCCTGTGTGCGCTGGTTAGTTCTGTGTTGGCTTTCTTTCTAAATGCTACGTTCTCTTTATTTCCGATTAGCAGCCTAAAGTAAACCAAATTTATTATTGATCCTTCCGAATAGTACCTCATTCCCAATTGTTGTGAGTTGAAGCGAATTCCGTAAAGCAAGTCTTGGATGGGAGCTGATAATGTTTGAAATCTTCAGCAATATCGGAAGTAGAAGGTTATGAGCACTTTTAGGCTGGAACCAGCATTCATAACTATCATTGCTGCAGATCTCTCACTTTTAGCATATTAATTTCATACCCTATACATTCATTCAAACTTTCGGACTTCGGCTAGATACAAATCATACTTCCTGATCTGGATCAGTCTTGGTGCTCAGTAGTTTGCTGTAGTGGATATCTACAAAGTCCACTATAAGGGAATGGGGCACATTTACTGTTGCATTAATATGTAACTTTTGCATCTCGTGGAATTAACTTTTCAAGGAGAGATCTTGTCGATATCTGCGGTTCTGCATTCTAATTTGTCAAGTTATAGATGGATTTATCTCTAATGTAAGTCAGGCTATCCTCGATCAGGCAAATGAGCAAATCCTTTCAAGGAGGCGCAATGCACCGCCCTGTCAAGTCTATGATTAGCAATTTACTTTACACTGCAAAGTGTAATTTCAAATTTGAAGCGTGGCATTTTACTTCTCCGTCAGTTGAAGTTCAACTGGATTCTATTTATGATGAGAAATTCTAGAAAAAGTTCTTGAAATGCGTACTGTCATGCAACGTTGACATGATAACTCTTAGTTTTAAAGAATATCAACTACTGGGACGAAATAAGGTTCAAAAGTTGTCGGAAAACATATGTGAATGTGAGTTCATCGTAGTGTGATGTCATGCCGTGGAACTTCAAGATGCAAATATGTTGACCAATACATTCCAAAAGAATCGACAAATAGTTGTACCTTCAGTACTATTCACTTGGGCATGAGTGGTGTCGGACATATCAGTACTCAGACATTCCCTATACTAATCATTAGGGTGATGCTATGGCCAGAGGCATGCTCATTATACACCTTGCTTGACTGAGCATCTGCTCGTTACTGAGAAGGATTCTGCATTATATATTTCGTGAAGAAGTCAAACACGCAACGATCCATCGTACAGCCAAAAGCATGCACGTAATGCGCATGGTCATGCAAGCATGAACAAACAAGACTAGAAAGCGTCATGTGAGCTCACATTGTGATGCACTAGAGCTCTTGTATCCTGCGCATTGCGGAACATTCAGCGTTGTTGATTCGATTCATCGGTCGGACATTCAGTACTCAGACATTCTCTATAGGGCTCCGATCGGGTCGGGTTTGACTTTCAACCCGAACCCGACCTATAAGCCGAAAAATCGGGTCCGATTCCGGTAGAACCCGAATCGGTTGATCGTGAGGCGACGGCGAGTGGAGGAATCGGAGCGACGTTTATCTTCTTGACGAGGAGGCGATGCAAGAACATTTCGATGAAGGCAGGGCGAGCAGCATAGGTAGCGCAGCGCGGCCCAGCTAGACGCAGGAGCGAGCAAGGGAGCGGGTGCCTGTATCGCATCGAGCGAGTTGCGCAGCAGGCGGGAGGAGGAGGAGGAGTGCCAGACAAGAGAGGAGGAGCAGAGTTTCGCGAGACGGAGCGGAAGCTGATGGAGACGAGGACAGACCAGGTTAGCTCTTATCGGTGGTTGCTTTATTAATTTTCGGGTTGGATTCAGCCCTCTACCCGGACCCGAACTCGGTTTTCGGGCTTCACCCGAACCCGATCATCGGAGACCTAATTCTCTATACTCATCATTTTGGCAATTCTATGACAATATGGACGCTCCTTCTGCTGGAGTTAGCATCTTCTCTATCCTGACGAAGATTCTCCTTCTATGATTCGTGAAGGAGTCAAACCAGCAGCGATCGATCGTACAACCAAAGGCCTGCCAGCTCTATATTAATGTTAGTGACGTCTAGAAACAATGATAAAAAAGGAAGCTAGTATTGCATGTCTTAATTCAAGTGTCGTCGCGTTAACGTGAATTCAACACTCTTCTTTCATACAACTTGCAATCTCTATCAATCTCTGTCAATGTCATCCTCAATTCAGCACTCATCTTTCTTCCAGCTTGTAGTATGTAGCATAGCCTCTACAATTTATCAGGTATATGTGAACGAGGGCCATCGATGAACTTATAGCTTCTGCTAATTCATCCTTTTGGTAAGAAGTTTCTACCTACATGTAAATAAAGTGAATCTGATATTCAGAATGATTTATGAGCACAAGGATCTGAAATAAGCGCAATGTTACTGGCCGGATGGATGGAGATAATTGGGAAGGTAAGCTAGCCATAAGCCCTCAGAACCATTAGACTGTGCTTGCAGTACTCAGTCCAAAAGATTGAATGGTGGAAGATCTTTCTTGAGAAGAGTCAATCTATGTGTTGCAGCAGCTACATGTCTCAGTTCTCTGAATATAGAAATCTAAGGTAAATGTACTTTATAAATTTACTCAAGTCAATTGCAGTTGGCTTCGAGAATCGTATCCCTGACAAATATCAGCAACTCAGCGTTACAAATCCGGTCAAATGCGCATGTTGCGACGAAATCTCTATATGGTGTAGAACAGACACGAGGGGCAGATGTTGACAATACATATTCCAACATTTGGAATATGTATGGTTGGGGGCTGCTGATGCCCTAGCGTGGAATGCAAAGGGCTAACATTGATAAGAGTCTTGACTTCATCTCCAGTTGAGACTTCAACAAGAACTGCTGCAAAACACAAAAGAGTGGAAGAGACGCATTTATGACAGGACTGAAACATCACTCTTTTTGCAGATGACGTCATCTATAACTTGGCAAAATAAAACAAACAACTTTGCTTTTAGTAGAGAACTTGCATGATCCACATGATTCTCATTAGCAATCGGCCTAGAGAATTGTCATGTATCTGCTGTTGTGGAAAGTGTCAAGACCGATGAGGCTATTTCACCCATACCCGGGAGCAACCACGTAACAGAGAGTCAGCGGACAATGATGACAGTTATGATCATGATGACGGCGACGTGCAATTTCATGGAAAATTAGACAACAAGAATTGGAGTTAGGGTAACCTGAACGGAAGTTAGAGTTCGTTTATTAACGAACTCATTGCTTATCTTTTTCCTGACTGCCGTGTGCCTGACAGTGTTTGTGCCATCTTTAGAACGAACACGTGAAACTCATCTGATCCTTGTCTTCGGTCTTGCTTTACTCTTGGTAACGACAAAGTGGAGAACTCTCTTTTTTCACATTTATTCCAGATGTCAATCAGATGTCAACTGATCTCATCATCCCGTATGCCTCAGTAGACCCTAGCAGTAGAGCCTCATGACAAGATGATATTTACCTCAGTTGGTTCCACGTTATGCTTTGACGATTTGCTTCCTGTTTGAGGTCACGTGACGCTTGCTCCTACTCTTAATCTCGGTGTCATATCAGGGGCCCTTGACAATGGCGATCCATAATATGTTTCGACTCAATGAAGGCAATCCATATCGTAGTTCATGTGCAGTCAAGACCTGACTGTTTGGTTCAGAAATCAGCACCGCAAAGTACATCAGTTTGTCTTCGTCGCCAAGTTACTTTATAAAGTGTTACGTTCACTATAGCACGTTGGTTCATATTTGACCGTGCATAAATTTGGTTTTGACACAAGTCTACTTGTTCTGGTTGTTACTCAATGTAACGATTGAACTCGGATCAAAGAGTAATCCCACAGTGGAAGAAGTCGCAGTTGAGAAGAGCTGCGACCTTGAAGTCTAGATTCGCATCCTCAGTTGGAGTCTCTTTTTATCTTTAGCGGGGATGAATATCGGACGATCTAATACCGCTGATAAGTTCATGTCGAAGTGTGGGTCTAGATTTGCATACTCCATTGGAAATAATTTTTTTATCTTTAGCAAGGATGAGTATCGGAAAATCTAATACTTCTAATAAATACATGATCAGTTTAATTATCCTGGAAACCACTTCCATGTAAGAAGTATTCATAACTATACACTAGTTTTGGTCACATGTACTTCACAAACACATACTTCGCTGGAATGTTGCCTCGTACCAACAACCGGACACAAAAGTAGCGAATGTCTACCGTGACATGTTCAAATGTCCTCGCAAAACTGTACTTGCTTATTTAAGCTTGTAAGATTCAGCTCTCATTATATTAAGGAAGAAATAAATCCGTTATCCTCCAGGTGCTGATTTATGGAGTGAATGAGGTCAAACGCAGAGACATCCTCAGGCAGGCACTTGGACATCTCTTTATTGAAAGCATTTATCATGCAATCGACAAGATTGTGTAAAGCGAACACATGCAAATTGGTTCTCCACCAATAACAGCAAGTGGTCTCTCCGCTCCATCCCAAATAAGAAGGTTGTGATATGAATTCCCGTTGCTCATCCACCTTTATTCCCACGCAGCTTGCTGTTATACTTGTCGTTCCAGGAATAAATATCTAGGCAACTTGTAGATGGAAAGAATTTTGTTAAGCATTATGATCAGATCCATACATGCAGGTCATCGATAAAGTGCAGCGCAGCTGTCAGCGTTGACTAAGATATTCTCATTATCTATGATCCATGCACTCACAGTGCTTCGTTCTCCTGCTCTAAGTGTCGCTTGAGATTCTGTGGACTATGCACTAACCACGGTTGGCTGCAATACTCATAACTTTGACAAGTTTGTCTCGATTTTTGTCAACACTAAATCAGTAATTCATCTGCTCAGGAGAACTGGGGCTTTTACTTCCAGAGCTTATCACCGCAAGTCCAATACCGTACCACGTCTTAGGCTGAAGTTGTAAAGCTGACACCAGCTTCCACGAATGCTTTTGTATTGAAGTCATCAGGAGGCTACTCCGAAGAGATAGACACTGGATCACATGCAGACTTTAAGAAACCAGGAGAAAAAAAAACACTAACCCCAGGTTTTTACTCATATCGATCAGCTCAGCAGGAAGTTACGACATTGTCAATCCAAATATATTGTAAGGCTGTCCTTCATTGCTATCATGATGTCCCTCGCCAGTTTTGATTGTTAGGACCATATATTCTGTTTGTGATATTCTGCCTGATTGCTTCATGTACACAGTAACTTATGTTCCAAATCTCAACATCAAATCCATTTTCAGATTTGCATACCCATTGAACTAAGGGTCACTCTAACTTTTCACTGCCACCAACTTGGGTGATCAAATATAAGCCAGTAGACTTACTCGGACACATCAAACTGGAAATAAGTTTCACAAAGTTACCTTCTGGCCCAGCTCATCTTACACAAATGTGCTTTCAAGTCGAAGATCAATTCAGGGTTCAGATTGCAATCCCTACGTAGGCTTTCGCATCTAAACGTTTAATTACCGCATACGGTACGTGGCTGGATTCATCTCTTCTCACTACCAGAAATGAAGCTACGAGTTAGCATTATTCAGATTAAATTGGATTTGCAAAATGGATTCAGACAATTATCTTCATACTGACCATATGATTAAGATAATTTAGAATATGGGAGGAACAAATTGTCTCTGACTTGGGATATTTAATATATTAATATTTTGTATATTAATACATTGATCTAGAGATTTGTTTGATGCAATTTTTTCCGATTTTTGACCCTACTACATAAAACCGCAAGTCGGAAAAGCTGTATTGCTTCGATGCTCCAATATTCCTGTCTATTGATTGCCTCAACAAGTAAGAAAAAGCCGCATGTAACCACTGTTGACTTTCCCGTTATCAGCCGTTTCACTTCAAGCTCTTTCTTACTGCCAAATGTACACGTAATTATATTCAGTTATCTCTCGTCGAAGTAAAAGTAGACCTCTACCTCGTGCAGAACTGGCTCACTGTACATCGAGCATTTCACTGACTGATACCAGGAATTTTTTCACATGAACTAGTAATTATAATGGTTCTCTGTTTGTGAATGCCAGAACCAGACATATTCTCGCCGTAATATATCTCAACTTTGACTTGTGTATATCTCCGACATTTCTAACGTTGTAACACAGTAGAACGTTTTTCTTCACAAAAGACAATTTCACTGAAGGAAACTTTCACAGAGAGTAAAATTTCAAATGCATTTTGTGGGAGATAAAATGAACCCATGGAGCTCAGATCTTTTGCGAAGCAGGTCTACAGTGTGCATGATCAGCAGCATGTGTGGCCGACGTGAACGTACTTGTATTCACATGGAAGACAAAAGCCAGATAGGCAGAGAAGCAAAAGTTGAACGTATAACAGTGAAGCATGCACGTACTTTGCAACTTGATCAGGCACTTATATTCAGATATCAAATGATATTGATCCTTGACTAGTACAGAATTATTATTACATGAATAGTCGCAAGTGACACTTCATGACCGTACATTTCCAGATATTTGGCTCCATGCAGAAGGCTCTTGATGCCATTGCGTGGAGTGCAAGCAAGGGTCAAACACTACTGAGATTTGCGTCTGCAAGATCACCCAACTCGACTACTGTATCTAGTAGGGACTTCATCCAGATTTCTGCAAATAACAGAGAAGCCAGGAAAGACATTGCCACAGAAGTAAAACATATTTTTTGCAGATAAGGTTATCTATAACTTGACAAGATATATCGAACGACGTTGCTTTTAGTTGAGCACATACGTGATCCACATGATTCTCGTTAGCATCCAACCAAGAGAATGGAATGGGACAACAACTATGACGCTTATCACCCGTCACCTGGTGCAACCACGTTGCAAAGAGTCAGTGGTCAATGATGAAGGTGACTGAAAAGGTGTCAGAAGGTTAGACATGAAGACTTGCAGTTACGGTTGACTTGACGGAAGACAGAGGACGTTCAGTAACGAGCTCCTTGCTTATCTTTGTAGTCCATGCGGTGTGAATTGTAGTGCTAGTGACGTTTCTTGTTCTAAAACTTGGACTCATCAGATTCAAATCACCAATAGTCATTGCAAACATTCACCGCCAGTGTAGTTTCAGTCTTTTACATACAATCATCATATTTACAACTTGACGTCCCAGAACTATCTTCCTTTACTCCAGAAACAGACAAAATCGAGAAGTCCATCTTTACATATTGACGTAGCTCATTTCTGATGTCAATATGGTGTTAACTGATCTCAACCCCGCGAATGCAGATCCCTACGAGGCGTTTGACATTCGATCAGTTGCTTCCCTGATATAGACATAATCAGACTGGCCACGTGTCTTGCTCTCTTTCTGAGGTCACGTGACCTTCACTCCTTCTGGTGAGTCAACTGTCACAAGGGGCTTTTGCAGTGGCGGTTTTGTTCCGATTCAATGAAAGCAGTCCAGCAAGTAGTTAGTTCACGTGCAGACTTTTGGCCGGTTGTCACAGGGATCAGCACCACCAGGTTCGGAAGTTTGTCTTCTTTGCTGAATTACTACTATAAATACGGATTGACGCACCGTTGTGAAACGTCGGCAACCACTGACAAACATTGCGTTCTTAGATTGGTGCATAACGTTGGGTCTGACACAAGTCTGGCGGCTAGTGAAATGTAATGATTAAGCTCGATCACAGAGAAGCTCACAATAGAAAAAGTGACGGGTGAGAAGAACTGCGACGTCGAAGTCTAAGGGTGTATCTAGATTCCCCATACTCAATAGGAGCGAAGAAGAAGCAAAAGAATCTCTCTTTATCTACGACACGGATGAACACGCGTAAATCCTGAAATCTGGTACGGTTCATAGATACCTGATGACTTCAATGATCCTCGTGACAAGTGACCAGTGCAATGTAAGAAACGTTCACAGTTATAAACACTGTCGTTGTGGTCACAAAGTCTTCAGGAACTTGTTTTTCACTTACACTTTACTATCGTTGTAATGTTGCCTCATTCCAACAGCTGGACCCAAACCTCATTAACAGCTTACCGTCAAGTGTTCAGATGTCTTGACAAAATGTTCAAAATGCTGATGTTTAGCTATCTTTATTTTCTTGATGAAATACATCCATTTTTCTCCAGCTGCAGATGTCGGGAGTGAATCGGGTCAAACGCACAGACATCATCATATAAGAAAGTAGAAATCTCTTGTTGAAAGTATCGATCATGCAATCGACAGGATTGACAATAGCGAGCACGGTCAATTGGATCTGACGAGGGTAAAAACAAGAGGTTTCTCCATTCCATCCCCAAAGAAGAATGTTCTTCTATGAGTTCCCCTTGCTTATCGTTCCTTTCTGCTGACTTTATTTGGACGCAGGATTCTGCTGTATTAATCGCCCCAGGTATAGTTACACAGGTAAGGTTTCTGCATCATGGCAACTTCCAGATAGCATTTGTGTTTGGTAAACTACGATATACGGGTTTGTCACGATATGATGAGAGCAGATAGGGCAGATAGTTCATCTACTTATGAGAACTCGGCCTTTCGTCACAGAGCCTATGACCACAAGTGCAGCACCACGTCTTTACCTGAAGCGGACACCAGCACCTACGACTTCTTCGTCTACGCTACACGACCCTCACATCAGTTTATATTCGAATATAAGGAAAAGATTCAGACAATGTTCATGCAAACCGCAAAACATAGTCTTAAGTTTATTTCTGAGCCTTGAGATGTTGAATGCAACGGATGATTTCTGATTTGGGAAATTGAAGTAATCCATTGATGCTTTGATGTAATCCACGTCGAATTTTTAACCTGTCGCTTGAACCTACTTTTTGAAACAGCATGTCGATGAAACTTTTATTTACTTGAAGATACACACCAAGCTTCTACAGAGATTCCTTGCTATCGGCTGCCTAGACCGAAGAAAAAAAGCCGACAGTAATCCCTGCAAGCTTTGCCATAAGGATGCGTTTGAGTTCAACCTTTCTACGCTCAACCTCGAGAAAATCACGTTCATTCACGTCCAAGTGGAAACTAGACCTCTACTGAGGAGCTCATAAACCCCAATTATGTTTCAGTGAAATCGACCAGCGAACTTACTCAAACCAGGAATTTATTGAAAATGGACTGAACTTTCTAGTTGTTTTTGTGGATATGTATTTTGAGTTCAGATGTTTTCTATCTGGAATGCTCGTAAAAGTGTGAGTTAAGTCTTGGAGAAGACTCACATGAATCAGTGGTGAACTTTGACTTCTGCATAGGTGCCCCTTTGCTAATGCGGCTGCGCAGCGGAACTAGTCTCTCCTCGAGTAACAATATCATATTTTTCAGTAAGTTTGCTCCCTCAAAAATTGTTTTGTCTTTGCAGTTTGTGGGAGATAAAATGTCCTCACCTCGAAAATAAGCACTTGGGGCCTATATATACATCCTCCCATTGAGCAGTAACCACTCTCTCTCTCTCTCTCTCTCTCTCTCTCTCTCTGAACTCAGTTAAGGATCAGCTTGCACCACTTCAGCATCCCTCACAGTGCCTGTCCACCACTTCCATCTCTTCGATCAGAATGAGGACCGCTCACTTCATTGCTATCGCTGTCTCGCTGCTTGCTGCAGCCACCTTCGTCGCAGCCACCGGATACTCCTCCAGCCTCATCAATGACTGCGATTTCGACGTCAAGGTCGACATCGTGCTCATCCCTGGCCTGCAGCTCGGGTCGCTGGGTCTCATCACCGTCGTTGCGCACACCGTCCAGTCCGTGCTGTACACCATAACGGGCCTCGTCTCCAGCCTGCTCGGCCTGACCTGGAAGATCTCCGCTGTGATCGACGGCGTCCTGTGCACCGTCAACGTGCTGGTGCCCGTCAATGGGACGGTTCACATCGTCCAGACGGCGGCTGGCACAGTCGCAGTCCTCGTCAACAATGTGGTGAAGGGCTACCTTCTTCAATGTGAGTATCTGGAAACCTCTCACCCCCACGATTATCTACGCAGTACTGAGTGTGCAGTGTTCAAGTCTCGTTTCATACCATAACTCCGAGCTAATGTTCTCTGTTCTGTTCCTCTTGAAATTTTATTTCCAATTTCTTCTGAAAGGAATGTGACACTCATGTCTGAAACATTTCGTGGACGTAAATTGCAGGATCATTACGAGGAACCCCACGGGTCAGAAACAGATTCGGTACTGCCTGGTGAAGACGGATGGGAAGAATTTGAGCATCTTCTGTGTGGAATGAGCATTCACGGCTATCATTTCCGCAGTTAAATGTTCATTACAGTTTCTAGACTCGTTCCAACTTCCTGGTTTAAACTGGACATAAATCACAGGTCCGAATCTGGATCATTCTTAGCGGTAGGTGTAATGTATTTCTTAGAGGTTTACTGCCTAGGCTAGTGACGCGAAACCCTGAGAAGATAGTCATCTGAGAAGAAAGCAGCTTCACCAAATCTGCTGTTATAAATAATTTTGTACCGGCCTTCACAAGGGCAATGATTCCTTCTTCCAACATAGATAAGAATGACGACTTCATGTATACAAGATGTATGTAGTATCGGAAGTAAAAGGTTATGAGCATGTGTTATCTGGAACAAGCATTCTTAAGTGTCATTGCTGCAGAACTCTCACTTTTAGCATGTTGAAGTGACTTATCATAAGCTCATTCAAGCTTCCTGATTCTTGCTGGATAGAGAACGCAATTTCTGATCTGTATCACTCTAAGTGATAGGCAGTTTGTTATAATGTAGTTCCAAGAGTGTACTGACTTGACCCAAGAATTTACTAAATGAGGCACAATAAGTTTGCTTTTAGTGGAATTAACTTTATCAAGGACGATATATTGAAGAGATTTGAGCTTCTCCATTCATTTTATCAATTAATAAATGGTATTATCCGGATAATAAGTCAGACTATGTGCAAATCTCCCAGCCTGGTCCATCAAAGCAATGATTGCAACAGGACTGTATACGGCATGACTTTGAAAGTGAAAGCAGGAGTTCTTGATATTAACGTCTTTTATCTTCCACAACAATCACTTTTCTACTGCAGTGCTTGCTATGTAGGCTTGTAACAAATGCCTCGATGGTTGACAGAAATAAAAAACTTGGGAGCTCATGGTAATGCTAGTGTGATCCACGATTCCGTGGAACTTCAAGATAGATAGATATAGATATATATATATATATATATATATATATATATATATCGCCAAATACCGCAGAAATTACAATTATAAATTGCATAACGAAAAATAGTTATGCTATCAATCCTCCTCGTATGACCTTGAGTGGTGTCGAGCAAATCAGCTCTCATACATTCTCCAAAGAAAAAATTAGGGGATTCAATGGCTAGAGTCACTATGTTCACTCTGCTCTACCGAGCATCTATCTATCCTTAACAAAAATTCTCCATTCTATGATTTCTAAGGAGTCAAACAAGCAACGATTCATCCTACAGCAAATAAGATTCAAAATATGAAGATTTAAAATTTGTTGCAGGCTTCAATCTTTGACTTTTTGAAATAAATAAACGTCATTCTTGAATAATCTTCAGTAAATGCTATAAAGTATTTCGACTTTTTTAGCCAAATTAAAAGTGTCTAGGGAAAAGAGTTGCTCAAGAAGACGTGAGACCTATAACTAATAGCAACAAAAATTAATCACAATAATACGAGAATTACATAAGATGAAAAAATTTAAAAAGTATTCTTTCAAAAACGATCTCTCCAACGGTTGAAATCTTTTGTACCTCTAAACTTCAATATAGCATTATTTACTCTTTACACGTTATCTCTCAGTGATTTTTAACTGAAACATAGATTATTTTCCAATACAAAGTCATGCAAATTTTCAAAATCTAAGTTCAAATACAAAAACAATAATATTCTTTGTAGAAAATTTCTTTAGAGCTATATTTTGATATCTGTGGAAACTATTTTAACCTTTAACACTCATGAGTTTTTATAAACATATAATTTATATTTAAAAAAAAAACCAAAATATATCTCACCTTTCACACCACAATGAATTAAAACTTCTGAGAATATTTTCAACAAAATATTTTTTGGTCTCTATGGTCATTTTTCTCTTGAAAGGACGTTGTCTAGAAAAGAAAGCATCTTCTCTATTATCTACTTCAGTCGGTTTCAAATCCGCAACATTCAATTCAAAATCATCTAGAAAAAGAAAGAACTCTCAAAACACACAAGATATACTTTGTTCTGCAACATTCAATACAAAATTATCTAGAAAAACAAAGAACTCTCAAAACACACAAAATATACTCAAAATGCAAAAACCCTCCAGACTTCATACTACAAAAAGTGCAAAGTTGAAATTTAGCAAAATGAGCAATACATTCTTTACTATACCTTTCTCAAGAAAGTTCTTGAAAGAAGAACGCAGTTCAAATGATATACAACCAATCAATATGAAATACAACTTTGTAATACATGTGGCACACTTTATAATACGTACTACAATTAAATCTAGTACAACTTTGAATTATATGTAGTAAAATTTTTGAAATACATATATTACAGTTGTAGCATAGTTTGTAATACTTATTACAATCAACTGTGATACAACTTTATAGTATATGTATTAAAACTTATTGAAGTTACAGTTCACACACATAGCATACATAGTATTTTATATCCTAACAACTTAATATATGAAAATTGGATATCAAATCAAACATATTTGAATAATCTATTATTTAAAGATAACCATATGATCAAATCTAAATCATACATGAAAATATATCTTACATTATTTATGGTGTTTTTTCTAACTTATATTCACACAAAACACTAATCACATGGTTGTCTCTAGCCCGGTGATATATGAATAGCACCATTATCCATATATCACTTATGATATGGTGATCGGTCACAGTTGCTAATGCAAGATCAAAGTTGTCTACATCATCATTGTAGTGTACTTTTTTATGTCAGGCATGATGGAATTGATCAATCCTATGAGCAAGTAGAAGCAAAATGCCTTCCTTGCCATGCATTCAACAAGCAAGACTGTTATGTTCATGAACTTGATGATATTGCTAAAATCTTGAAGTTTCGTTACTTCTTATCATGTATCTATGATTATCAAATAGTTATTCATTTCACTAAGAACTTTTACTATATTCACGTTTCATTGATGCAAGTTGCCATTGTAAAGCTTGAGTTATATCTTTTTCTTCAAATAGCTGATTTTTTATCTCCTCTATGTGTACTTCAATGAGCAGTTTGGAGACAGTCTTCTCAAAAGAAAGAAGTTATTCCAAAGCAATAATCATTTGAATAGCTTTCTTGTAAGATTGTGGTATCATATTTAGAACGATTGAAGCCATTGTCACTCATTTCCTCTCCCATTGACAACAGTTTGTTCTTAATCACTCTTGATTTTGATATGTATTGTGTAGCGGATACTCTTTCCGTTGTCTTGAATGAATGTGATTGTTGGAACGAGAAAAGTATTTGTACTTGATCACATGATTGGAAATTATTCTCTAATACTTGCCAAACTTCAGCAGTATCATCATTCTTAAACACCAAATTCACAAGATCATCATTTAGACTCATTGTAATTGTTGCATGTGCTATACTCTTCAATTTCATCAACTGTATGTTGTTCACAATTATGACATTGATTGTGTCATGTGTAGATACGTTAGTTTGGATTTGAGTTGATAGACGTTGGGACGCGGAGTGACGTTGAGGCTGGATCAACGCTCCATCAGGAATATAGTTGAGACGAATTCGAAGAACGGTAAGTTCTTCGAGTTGAGACTTCTGCGTAGATAGACTAGCTTCGACTCTACCTCTGCGATTGGAGTGAGTTTGACTCGACTACCATGTGGACTTTTGTGTTATCTTGCAAATAAGTTGTGATACCTTTGTGTGTGTACTCTTTCGTTCCTTATGTATGTACGTGTGAGTGGATGAGTAGAGTATGTCAGCGATGTATGATGTATGGCAATACCTAGTCGCACAAAAATTGTAACAAATAAATTTCCCATCATCTCAATCTTGTTTATTGTCAATTCCCAAAGGTCAAACTGTTTAGCCATGGATTGCATCTTCAATTGCAAAATGTGATAATTGTACTCCCTTACCAACTTGTTGCTGGCTCTTGCAAGTATCATCTTGCTATCCCCATCCATAATGAAATAATATACAATGGAAAAAGTAAACCTCACCTCATCAAATACTAGTAGAGTTCATTATTTTCTCTACACTAGTGTACTCATTTCTTGCTCTGATACCGTATCAAGAAACAGTGTTCACCGTGAACCAACTCTTGTTTATTGTCACATTACTTCTTTATATACACAAATTTAGGTTTTAAGGTTGACAACACTGAGACTTGGTTAAGTAAACTCAACGGCCTACTACCTTGAGACTTGGTTAAGTAAACTCAACGGACTACTACCTAGCACTACCTAATTTGTTTCATATTTTCGCTAAACAGCAATGTGACTCCCACGTCATGATTTAAGGGAGTCTTTCTTCTAACAAGAACATACCCGAATTTTGCTAGATGAAGAGTCACTTATATCCATAATCGAATGGATCCTTGCATTGTATATAACACTATTATATGTAAGAAATAAGTCGCAATATATGACCTTACATGTCCAGATATTTGGCTCTATGCAGAAGCCTCTTAAGGCCATTGTGGAAAGTGAAAGGCGCAAACATTGAAGAGATTTGGGTTTGCAAGGCTTTCCAACTCGATTCTCTAGTACGGTCTTCACCAGGATTTTTAAGCAAAGAACAGTAGAGTTTAGGCAACACATTACGACAGGAGTAGAACATACTTTGTGCACATAACCTTATCTATAACTTGACAAGATAAATGGGACGACTTTGCCTTGAGCAGAGGACATGCATGATCCACATTATCCTCCTTAGCATTCAATCCAGAGAACCTTCACTCGTCTGGTCTGCTAATATGGAATAGGACAGCACCAGTGACGCAATCACCCGTCATATAGCACAACCATTTTCCAAAAAGTCAGCGGGCAATGATCATGTTAATATAGGTGGCGACTGACAGTTTGGGTGATCTTAGCGGAAGATAGAGATTGTTTACTGACGAACTCATTCCTTATATTTTTAGTGACAGTTGTGTGACTTAGACCGGTAGTTGTGGACATGATAGTTGTGAACATAATGTGAGGTACACGTGGCTTTCGACCCCGTATTCCAACCTCGTATAGTTGGATCGAAACTATTTTATTTCAACAGATAATAAATTTCATTTACTCCAATTTGATAACAAGTATCTTAGACTTATGCAATTTTAAAACGTGATCCTTGTCCACATGTTGCCTCATTCCGTTGACATCTTTCACACACTAGTGATATAATGTCTTAGATTTCTTCCGTTCTCTTGAATTATGATGAGAACTATGATGATTGACTTTGATAGAAAGTCAGCAGAACTGAAATATTTCAAACTGAATCCTCCCCGATTCCTGGCTTTCATGTACAGGTAAAGCCAGGCTTTGATTCACGATGTACATAGTTGAGAGACTCACTAGCATAGTCTTGTAGAGTCGAATCGCAATTCTGTAATCATCTAAA